CTGTACAGAAATGGACAACCACATTGGTCTAGAAATGTTAATTTTTTTATTTTTATTTTTATTTTTTTTCCATGTGTACAGGGGTAACACATCGTACTAAATATGTAAGGTCATATCTACATGGGTTTGATTACAGAAACTAATAAATTATTCTCTAAATAATGAAAAAAGAATAAGATAAGACTATAAGAGCAAGAAGCAATTTAAATATGTTCAGGGACCATTTTCATCTCCAGAATTAAGGTTTATTTTGATGTTACATCATTGCCTTTTCTCTTTTGCTTTCCTTTTTAGTTTTATTTTAGGATTCCCTATTTTTAATGTTCATACAGAGATTTCTTTATCTGAAATACCGAATAGTTTCTTTGGTGTGAAAAACTATAATACTACACAGGATCCTAATGAGACAGTTAATAATGTGAAATAGGAAGTAAAGGGCTAAAGGTGTAAGGAAAGTGGGAAGGGTGGGGGAAAGGTAATAAGGGAGAGGAAAAAAATATGAGAAACTGAAAAAATGGAAATAAAGTGTTTGTAAATGGGGAGGGGAAGAGGGGGTGGAAGTGAGGCAGGGACAAGGGGAAAAATGAGAATCAAGACCTATTATGTAAAGGTACAGAATCCCAATGATGAATGTAACTGTATTTGTATACCTAGATTGTACCAATATCCTCAATAAAAAAGAAAAAAAAATAATGTTACATGAGAGCTCCATTTAGACATGAATGTCTGACCACACTCTACTCAGTAAATTCCCAGTGCTGCCCCTCCTTACCTGGGAGCCAGAGCAGCAGGAGCCCCAGGAGCTGAGTGGGAACCCTAGTGTCTATGCTGTGTCCTGACTGGGAACAACTCCTGCCCAGGGTGTGAGCAGCCTCTGATGAAGTAATCAGGGAAGAGGGCTGAGCTATGGGCACATGCAAATCAGGAGAGGTTGAACAAAGCAAACTCTTTTAATGAGGGAACAAAGTTCTTTCCATATAGTCACTCCTTTGCCTTTCCTCTGATAGATTATTTCTGAGCCAGCCATATACACCCATAGTCCCTGATCCTGCCCTGTCCTTAGCATGCTCAGCAGGAAGACCTGGTGCCAAATAAACCAAAAGGGCTGGCTGCTAAGTAGATGTCAAGACTTCTGCCACATTTTAAATTAATCAATGTTTCTAAATGATGAGGAGGTATGAGGAGGAGAGATTTCAGAGCATCTTTGTTTGGTGGAGTGAGAGGTAGCCAGTTGGTAAAGATGACAATAAAGTCAAATTTCCAATTACCTCAGTGGCAGTTATGGCCATGGAAAGTACGATAATGTAGCCCATGATTTTAGTGCCTGGACAGATTTTGGGGTACTGGAATAAATGGGAGAAGCTTTGAGCAGGGGTCTCAAACCAGGGCCGAAGGCTGTGTGGGCTCTGGCTCTGGATTGAAGAGGAAGGAGCTGCTTTCCTGAGAAATGGGATAGAGGACCTGGGATTGAAAGATTCTGCCATTTTCTGCCTGGCAGAAACTCTAAGAACAGAAGCACAAACATGCACAGGCACTGAACCGAGGTGAGATGGACAGTTGCTCTGGGGATCAAGGGGAGACAGGTTTTTGGTCAGGGCTTGCTAGGCAGTAAGAGCTTCTCCTTCTCTAGTGCTCATCAGACTGGGCAGCTCATGTAGCTCGGTAGCTGGGTGATCAATGCACAAAGCACTCCATAGCTGACTGGCTATGGGGGTCTCTCTGACCAGTATTCATGGTTTACATCATGGTTGAGACTATTCACAGTGTGTCAGTTCTACCACATGTACAAGCTTTTATTATTTATTATTTTTTCCTGGGTTCCAAAAATACCACAGCTTACCAACAGTAATCCCTGCATTGTGAGTGTTCATGGAACAGAATCCAAGCTACAGTTTAGCATAGAATGCGTGTAAGGAATAACTCTTAAGTCATGGAAAACCACCAGGTAAGTATGTAAGAATTGACATTCTAAATTCACAGCAATGATTTAAAAAATAATCTCCTGAAGGCTCTATTTAGTGATAGATACGAGATACTCTAGAGGTGTCGAACGGTGATGGAAGTGGGAGGAGGAAATAGAGTGAGATGTGCTTTCAGAGGTGTTCACCAGCCTGCTCCACTAGGAGGGCTTGAGATCGTCAGCAGCCCCACCCTGAGTTGAAGCAGCAATTTGGGTGATATCGTCACCCCACAGAGACGGAAGGAAGAAAACATGCTCAGATGGCAGTTCAGTTACTGATATCCAGAACGGCATTTTTGCCAGATTTCAGAAGGATTCACGTCCAGGAATTAGTGTGAGCAGGAATTTAGGAATCAATTCTGAATGCTGTCAGTGCCAGGACTGGACTTGTTGATACTTGGGCAGACCCTGCAGGGGATGGTGACAGTCTTCTGGGACAGATAGAAGGGGGCAAAAGTTCAGTCCACACAAAGTTCACACTGGCACTTTAGTTGGTAACAGGATGGAAATAAATGCCAAGCAATCCTCACTCAATTTGATACAATGTTAATTAGAAAGCAAAACAGCACAACAACTACCTCCACAAGGAAATATTTGTGTTTTTACAATAGTGAGAATGAATTCTGGGTCCTCTTTGTCAGCGGTTGTAGCAATAGGAGGAAGAAGGGCAGAGTTGGACTCTAAGTCTATGAGGTGCCTGCTTATGGGAGGGCCAGCATGGTATATTTCTCTGCCTGGAGTCCTACAGTAAACCAAAAATACCCTGTACTGTATGGTTTAAACAAGAGAAATTCATTTTATTCAATTTCTTTTTTTTTTTT